CATGCCTCATCCTTAGACTTATATTCAAGACAAGAAGCAAAATTTTCAGATTGTTTTGTTATCTTAACTACCCTCTTGTTAGGGCAATCACGAGCTATGTGGCCTCTTCCATTACATCTATAACAAATCAATTCTCTATCATGTTGAGGCCTCACTGCCTCACTTACCTTTTCCTTACCTTTATCTCGTGAATCATCTCTTGGAGGGGGATGTTTTTCACGCCTTTTAGGGGTGGAACTTGTGTTGTTCCATCTTGATGCACCATTGTTGGACTTGTACAATTTCATCTCTTTGATTTTTGCCTCAGATTCACGTGCAGCATACAAGGCATCATAAAGGGTGTCATATCTCTAAATACACATTCCACATCGAATTTCTAAGTTCAATCCATGTACGAAACGAGCAACAGTTTTTGTCTCTTCTTCATGTATGTGTCCTTGTTTAAGCAAAATATTTATAGTTTGGTAGTACTCATCAACTGACTTTTTTCCTTGCACCGTTCCCTGCAATTTTCTTTCAAGATCATAGAAAAAAGATTTAGGACGAAAGGTTAGGCTCATATCTTCCCTCACTTGAACCCAAGATTCATAGGGAATAAAATTAGCAACTCTCTCTCTATTTCTTTTTCTCCACCAAGATAATGCATACCCCTTAAAAGATGTAGCAACTAGCCTAATTTTTATAAGATCAGAATATTGCTTTAAATAAAAAGAGTTTCATTAGAATTCTCCCATTCTATGTATTCGGTAGGTCCTTTCTCACCGGTGAAGTTAGGAATTTCATGTTTAATGTTTCCTAACTCCGCATTACGCTGCTGGATCCTTTGCCAACTAGGATCCACTCTTCCTGCTGGTGGCCGGTATCGCTCATCATTGTGTGGTGGTTGCACTTGCTGTGAGCGTTGCTCCAAATTATTCATTCGTTTGAGTAACCTGTCTATCTTTTGTTCTAATGTCTGGGGCAGGTTTGGAACTTGTTCAGCCATCTGTATAGGAAAAAAAAAATATAAAAACAAGAAGATATGTGAGTATTCATGTTAGTGAAACCAAAAAGTTGGCGCGCTCCCTCACTATTCTCAGCTTGCAGGTAAGAGGTGGATTATATGGCTCTGGGAGTGCACTACACACCCTTACAAACATGCACTCCACTCATGTATCACTCCAAGTGGCAGATACTCTCACAAGCCTTTTTCCAAAAAGGAAAATTCTAATCTGGAACTCAAGTTGATATGGATTCAACCTCAAAGTTCAAGAAAACGTACCTTGGAAAACTTCACAAGCCTTTGAGAGTAAGGTGTATCGCGGGGTAGGAAATAAAATTGAGAGCAAGAAGGAAAGAAAAAGGACAATACAAGCAAAGAAACTAAGCAAGATTTGAGAGAAAAAGGGAAGCAAAGAAAGAAGTATGACAGAAAGATATGCAGGACCAATATCTGTAGATACACACAAATAGAATGTAATAGGGGTTCAAGTGTACCACAACCAAATAGGAATATATCAAGAACTCCTTCCAACCTTATACTTTTCCCCTTCCTTGTCCCTCCAAAATTCTCCTACCAGCCAAATTCTTTCCCCAACCTTATTCTTCTTCTTTATTGCTTTCTCTATTTTTGCTTTTGTTTTTTTTTTTCAACTTTCTTGAATTTTTTTTATTTTTTTTTGATAAATAACCTCCAAATAACTACTGTAAATATCAACAAAAATTTCAGACCAAGAGGATCCACACAACCCCTTCAAAACAGAACCAAGAATTTCAAGAATCACCCAGAAAAACAGAAACGCTTCCCTTACTTCGAAGATCAATATCTCAATGACCATAAGGAATTAGCAAGTGTATAATATATCAATAGAACTCCCCAGACGAGATCTAAAACATATCAAAATTTCAGATAAAACTAACCAGTGTATCTCGAGATATAGGTCACTCTTTGAAACTTGTCACAGAACGCGGAAATCTGGACAGGGTGTGATTGCGCGTAAATGTGCTTCGGATATAGGTAAGGGTGAGATGGGATTGTTTTCTTGACTAAATATGTAGTAATATGGTGCTTAGGGGGTGTAAGGTATCGTTGATATTGAATAGGAAAAAGGGAAAACACTTTCGGGATAGGTTTTCAAGAAACTAAAGAACATGTATCAAGATTCAAGAAAATAATCTAGAATGCAAAAGAAAATTTTTTTGGGGTTTTTTAATAAATAAGACACGAAAAAAAATTAGTATGTAAGATAAGAACGAGATAAACCTAAGGAATCAAAGAAACCAAATTTCTAACGATAATGAGATAAACCTAGGCTCTGAATACCAAATTGATATGAACCTAGTCCAAGGTTCAAATAAAATGGAGTATTGTCCCAAGAATGCACTCAAAAGTAAAGATAGAGATGGATCAAAATACCTTAAACCTCACGAGAAACCCTTAGTCCCGAATCCTCAAAGACTTTGAAGAATCCCATGTAGCTTCAAGTACCTCGATGTTGCAATCTTCAATCAACTAGAGTCGGATCTAGTTTCCTTCGATTCAAGAACGAGTCCACGAACCTAAATCTAAGGTTGAAGAAAGTAAGATTGATTCGAGTCCACGAATCAATTTGCTAGTCGAGTCCACGACTAGCCACTAATTGTGTCCACAATTAGCCATAAGGTTTCTTACACAAGTGTAAAGAAAAACTTAAGAATTTTATTGAATTGAAGCCTCCCTGAAACTGATATGGATGTGCCCTATTTATAGGTATAGGGCAGCATTGTAATCTAAATACAATGGGAAAAAGAGTCCTAAACCTAATCTAGAAAACAAGTAAATAGAGTTTTATTTAGAAAAGGATTTAAGGAATCCTTTCTAAATAAAACTAGTGTTTTCTCTTTTATGCCAAACAATTTAAATTAATGATGACCAAAAACAATAGGGCTGATTTGGGCCTAATTTAATCACCAAAATCAGCACTTAAACAATTATAAAAAGCCTTGAAATCTTCTTCATCTTTTGCAAATGGGCTTGACTTGGATTTCCACCATCTTTGAATATCACCAATGAAGAGTTGTCTTAATCGTTGTGACTTGGGCCTTGTGATTGGACCAATTGGTACTCTTGATGGATCTTCATTATGTTGGGCCGCATCATCCAAATTGATATGAACCTAGTCCAAGGTTCAAATAAAATGGAATATTGTCCCAAGAATGCTCTCAAAACTAAAGATAGAGATGGATCAAAATACCTTAAACCTCACGAGAAACCCTTTGTCTCGAATCCTCAAAGACTTGGAAGAATCCCATGTAGCTTCAAGTACCTCGATGTTGCAATCTTCAATCAACTAGAGTCGGATCTAGTTTCCTTCGATTCAAGAACGAGTCCACGAACCTAAATCTAAGGTTTAAGAAAGTAAGATTGATTCGAGTCCACGAATCAATTTGCTAGTCGAGTCCACGACTAGCCACTAATTGAGTCCACAATTAGCCATAAGGTTTCTTACACAAGTGTAAAGAAAAACTTAAGAATTTTATTGGATTGAAGCCTCCCTGAAACTGATATGGATATTCCCTATTTATAGGTATAGGGCAGCATTGTAATCTAAATACAATGGGGAAAAGAGTCCTAAACCTAATCTAGAAAACAAGTAAATAGAGTTTTATTTAGAAAAGGATTTAATGAATCCTTTCTAAATACAACTAGTGTTTTCTCTTTTATGCCAAACAATTTAAATTAATGATGACCAAAAACAATAGGGCTGATTTGGGCCTAATTTAATCACCAAAATCAGCACTTAAACAATTATAAAAAGCCTTGAAATCTTCTTCATCTTTTGCAAATGGGCTTGACTTGGATTTCCACCATCTTTGAATATCACCAATGAAGAGTTGTCTTAATCGTTATGACTTGGGCCTTGTGATTGGCCCAATTGGTACTCTTGATGGATCTTCATTATGTTGGGCCGCATCATCCTCACCTTCTTGAAAATGATTCGACCTCGAATCTTGTAAGCATTGTCTTCGATCCATGATATCACTTGAAATGGGCCACTATAATACTTTCCTCTATTGAATGGAATTATTATTGGGCCTTCTTGTTTCTTCCACCAATGATTCCATAAGGATGTAGTGATGGGCCTTGTGATGAGCCCACTATAGACCCTTATTGGATTCCATGTGTACTGGTTCTTATTATTCTCCCCTTCTTGAAAAGGATTCGTCCTCGAATCCAAATCTTCAATGAAAGACAAAGTAGGAAGCTCACTTTCTGTTTTATCACGCTCATGGAACTCATTGAACTTCTTCTTGGGATGCTTGACACGAGTTGCTCCAATCTTCATCCTACAATAAACAAGTAAGGCGATTAAGTCTAATGACACAACATGGAATTTAAATATTCTGAAGGGTAATAGTTCAACAAAATTAGACATATTAAATTTAGCCATTTTGTTTGAATTATCAACAAGCACAACATCTTTCCTCCTAGAGCTTAAGGCTAAACCAAACAAAAAATTATGTTAGTGGATTTGAGTGGGTGATTGTAACACCCGATTTTACCACAACTCTGCTATTATCTAAAGTGAATGGAGTTTGGACAGATGATGCTCCTACTCTTAAGGCGCAAGTGAGTATGTGACTGACTTTTTTTTTTTCTTCTTTGTTTGGAAGGGTTCTAAGGGATAACGAGTTGGAGCTTTCGGGGATGGCGGAAACTCGTAGAATCTTCCCTAATCAAGCTAGACAAAAATTCAACGACCCGTGTTTAATTTATAGCACGGGGCAAATATATGCGATACACGGACATATGAAAAAAATAGAATAATATATGAAATATAATAATATATGCACATAGGTTCAATTCTTACTGGATGCACGCAATCAGGACCATGGAATCTCATCCATGCATAACGAATTGATGTAACATAACACAATTCAGATCCATATCATAACATATCTATATTTTTTTTTCATATGTTTGATTATTCTTATGCGCTCCATTACATAAATCGCACCTAACCATTAAGTAAGATGCGATGGGCGAACGACGGGAATTGAACCCGCACAGTGGATTCACAATCCACCGCCTTAATCCACTTGGCTACATCCGCCCCCAGACTATGTTCTTATTTTTTCATTTTTTTTCTAATTACTAATTAGAAATTATAGATGTAATTGTATTACCCATTATTGAAAACTTCTTTCTATACGACATTTTTAGTCGTACTTACAGATGTTACAATATCCCCACATATCAAAATTTTTAATCTCCTAAATTTACTTATTCTTGAGACTGCTCCGTACATCTGACCATGATTAAAGACCGGCCTTCTCAAAAATAATCTCACGTGTGATAGTGTTTGCCATTGACTTTTATTTATTATGATGGCATATGATAGCATAAAAGAAAATTGCTTTCTTTAGAACTTGAAAGACAATCTTGAATCAGAAGGTGTTAACGACATTCGAGGAATTAAAACCTTCGTTCCTGCATTCGTTCCACACATAATCTGAGCTTCCAAAACATGATCAACCAACTTCGTAACCATTACACTGTCCTAATGTGTGATCTATATTTCTCAATATCATCACAGGTGGTAGATTTCAGCAATCCATTGTGCACCTTGTAACCATAATCTAAATTTCTCTTATTAATTGTGTTGCCTATTCATATTTTACAGTATTAAATGTTGAAAAAAAAAACATGTAGATTATGGTTTTAAGTTTCTATCATTTTGTATCTATGTTTTTTAATACCTGGTAGCTTATAGTTTAAAGTCCAACATACTATTTTATGATTATTAATTGTATTATATATTCATATATAATTGTGTTGCGTATTCATATTTTGCAATGTTATATCTCAAAAAATTAATATAGGACATTATGACTTTAAGTTTCTGTCATTTTGTATCAATTTTTTGAAACTTGGTATCTTATAATTTAAAGTCATATATATATATATATATATATATATATATATATATATATATATATATATATATATATATATATATATATATATATATTGGGTATCACTAATTAATAAATTTATGTTAATTAGTTAACCTAAGAAGAAGTGAGAATTTTATTTTTAAGTTCACTTTGTTTAATACAGTCTTATGAACTACAATTTTTTTTTTTATTTAGCATAAACACTAATTTATTATGTAGTCATGTATTTGTGTTAGGTACAGTTCTGAAGTATTGGCAGAACACATCATAAGTGTTTGTCTATAAGTAATGAAAAATCCTGCATTTTTTTCTGTCTTTTTTATATTCATATACATATATATATATATATATATATATATATATATATATATATATATATATATATATATATATATATATATATATATATATATATATATATATATATATATATATATATATATATATATATATATATATATATATATATATATAGTGAAAGGTTCCTGTGCGGTTGAATGCTTCCCGTGCGGTTGTGCGGTTGATTAATGTGCGTGAGTGTTGTGCTTAATGTGCCTGAGATTTGTACTTAATGTGCGTGAATGTGTAAAATGCAGTAGAAAATATGGATGTCAGCTTCTTCCCCATCCCCAGTAACCATTGCCCCCTCACTGATGATGATGATGCAGAGGCGGGCTATGGTGGTTAAGAATTATGGGAATAATACAACAGAAATCACACACTTAGCTGGTGTGCAAATTTTGCTGTGCGTGTGTCATCTATATAAACATTCAACTGCACTGAAGGTAGCTGATAATAATCCAGAATCCATGGCCAAATTGAAGGAAGAAGTAACAAGAAGCTTGGGCGTTAATGTGCGTGAGTTTTCTGTTCTGCTTCCTTCTGAGCTCATAATTTTGAACTACTCACGCACATTAAGCACAAATCTCACGCATATTAAGCACAATACTCAGGCACATTAAGTACAAAACTCACGCATATTAACATTACGCACATTAAGTACAAATCTCAGGCACATTAAGCACAACACTCACACACATTAAGTATAAACCTCACGCACATTAATCCACTGCACAACCTCACGGGAAGCCACAAATGCACCTGATCCCTTCCCCTTATATATATATGTGTGTATATATATATATATATATATATATATATATATATATATATATATATATATATATATATATGAAATTGAAAGTTTAATAAAATTTGAGCTTGTTACTTGCAGATATTTAAACTTATCCTAGGCTGCAAATCAACAATGTATATGATATATAGTTGGTCAAGGTATGTTTAAAGTATAAAAATAATTAGTAATATACTTTTTAAAGTTTAGAGTACAATCTCGTGCTATCATATAATTTCTAAGCAATCTCATGCGATCATGTGATCTATAAGCAATGTCATGCTATCATATACTCAATATGCAATCTCGTGCAATCATGTAATCTATAAGCAATCTCACGCTATCATATACTTAATATGCAATCTCGTGCAATCATATACTAAATATGAAATCTCGTGCAATCATATAATTAATATGCAATCTCGTGAAATCATATACTCAACATGCAATCTCATGCAATCATATACTCAACATGCAATCTCGTGCAATCATATACTCAATATGCAATCTCGTGCAATCACATACTCAATATGCAATCTCGTGCAATCATATACTCAATATGCATTCTCGTGCAATCATATACTCAACATGCAATCTCGTGCAATCATATACTCAATATGCAATCTTGTGCAATCATATACTCAATATGCAATCTCGTGCAATAATCATATACTCAATATGCAATCTCGTGCAATCATATACTCAATATGCAATCTCGTGCAATTATATACTCAATATGCAATCTCGTGCAATTAACTTGATAATGCAATAGAATGAACATGATGCTTTAGTATAAGTATAGGTAGATACACGTATACACTCTTTTCTAAAAAGATATACTTTTCTATGGAGGTTTCTTAGAGTCATAATTACTGGCTTTCTCTAGAGTCGCAATGACTCGCTTTCTTTAGAGTCGCAATGACTCGCTTTCTTTAGAGTCGCAATGACACACTTTCTTTATACTCGTGGACGAGGTAGGACTTCGCCATAAAGTGAATGGACCTATCTGGGCTCGGCATCTAGCATGCCTAATACTCATCTCGCCCACAGAACCACTCGTTTGGCTCTTTTCTCAAATTCTGTGGAATCAGGTATCGAACTATCGGTGTGCCCACCCCCTGACCAGGATTCCAAGCCTTGCGGGCAATTTCCAACCTAGTAACTCAGGAATATCTACCTCTTTACTTCATATCAGATCGCAATGTCCGTTTCTTTCTGTACTTTCTCTTTTCATTGTTTTGTCGGTTCTATCCGATCTTATTTCTTTTTTTTTTCCGGAAGGACATAGTCCTAACGGTCCTCCAAAACCTCGGATTTCTCTCACTAAATACATACACATATAGCTCATGCATTTCGATTCATGCAAAACTTTATTTATGCAAACTTATGTTGGAAATTTATATTGTAATGAAGATTAATATTTCAGATGGACTACCATGAAAGCTTAAAATAATATTTGGAGTTGAGGAATTATAAATATTATTTTAGTTTGGTAGAAAGTTAATTGGAGAATGAGTTTGCTGGAAGGCTTTGTCTATTCCCCAACATTAGGGGATTATTCCCCAATATAGGGGAATTGTTTGTTTCATATGAAAAACGATTACATAGCACATGAGCTTCCAATTTTCCCAAACTTATATGCAAAAGTGTACTAGAAAAATTATATATATATATATATATATATATATATATATATATATATATATATATATATATGCACAGTTATTTGCATGCGTTTCACAACCTTACAAAGGTTCATAATTACATATATATTCATGTTGAACATGATGTATGTAGATAATATTCTCTTATGATAAATATATCTTTTAAGATATATTTTATGGAAGATAAGTTTTTAAAACTGCAGAAAACTTCCATGTAACTTCTCCAACAGTCATATTTTCATTTATAAATATTTTGTTGAAACATCTGAAAATATACATGCAAATTATCTTATTGCATATCTTGATATTTCCCAGTTCTACTTTTCTACAGGAAATTCTTAAACAAATTAAAGCAACTTAAGAATTTCTTCATCTTCTTGTATTTTATAAGATTAAATCTTGAACCTTGTTGCTTTATATGAGGGAGATTTAAAGCTTATAGGAAAGTGATTACATGCCAGAAGACCTCGTTTCCTCACTTCCCTATCATCAAATACTCAATTTTCTAACAATCTATAAGCTTTAAATATCTGTTTCTGATGAAGGATGAGTTCTGGACTTCTAGACTTTGCAACCAACTTCTGTTTCTGATGAAGGATGAGTTCTGGACTTCTAGACTTTGCAACCAACTTCCCTAAGTTGGAGCAGTTTGAAAGTGTGGGCTTCCGTAGGTGGCAGAAGAAGATGAAGTTGCTCCTTGCGGCTCTAAACGTGGCATACGTACTATGTACCCCAAAGCCGGAGGAACGGGAAGATGAGACTCTCGAGGCAACTCATCGGAGATTCAAATGGGAGAATGATGACCTTGCCTGTCGTTGTCATATTCTGAACGGTATGTCTGACACCCTCTTTGATATTTATCAGTATGATGAATCCTCAAAGGACCTCTGGGATGTACTTGAAGCAAAGTACATATCTAAGGATGCCTCCAGTAAGAAAATTCCTGGTAAGTGAGTTCAATGATTATAAAATGGTGGACAATCGTCCCGTCATGGAACAATTCCATGAGATTGTCAGGATACTTGGACAAATGAGGCAACATGATATGAATATGGATGATTCCATTGCCATTGCCAGTATCATTGATAAGTTGCCCCTTTCCTGGAAAAAGGTACAACGTACCGTAAAGCATAAAAAGGAAGCTCTTACCATGGAATAGTTGGGGGTCGACCTTCGGGTTGAGGAGGGAATCAGACTGCAGGAAAGTAAGAATGCAGGCAGTGCAAAAGTCACTGGGGCTTCAGGTTCTGTCATCAACTATGTTGATGAAGGCAAATCAAGTGGGAACCGTAAAGGGAAAGGGAAGTCGGGAAAGGCCACAAATTCTTCAAAGTTTAAGAAGATAGGAAAAAGAAAAGGA